TCGAGTTCGGAGTCATTGACGGAAACGGAAAGAAAGAGATAGTCGTCGCTGACGTCATAGACAACGACTCGTGGCGTCTGTGGCCCGAAGGCGACAAGAAGTTGATGCTCGACAAACAGGTCTACCGCAACCTCGACGCCAAAGACATCGACGCGAAGGCCATCGACGTCGTGCGCGCCAACTTCGAGGTCGTCGCGCAGCGCACGCAAGACCTCTTCTCGCGGGTCATCCGCCGCCCTCTGCCCGCCGCCACCCCCGCGTCGCCCGAAGTGGCCCTCGTGTTGGGCTCGGCGGGCGATCGGGCGCACGCGGACGCCATCGCCGGCGCTCTGCGCGAGAAGTGGGGCATAAATGACGTGCAAATCGTCGTCTCTTCGGCTCATCGCACGACTGCGCGCACTCTCGACGTGTTGGCGCGTTTACAGCAGTGGCCCACTTTGCGGGCCATTGTCGCCATCGCCGGCCTCTCCAACGGCTTGGGACCCGTTCTCGGGGGCAACGCTTGCGTTCCCGTTATCAACAGTCCGCCCGCGACGTCATTGGACGCGCTTTCGCTGGACATCTGGTCGTCGCTTCGGATGCCGTCGGGAATCGCGTGCTCGACAGTCGTGGGCGCGGAAAACGCGGCGCTGGCGGCGGCCCTCGTGGTGGCCACGCACGCGCCGTGGGTGTGGTCTCGAGTGCGCGCTCAACAGTGCAATACTTTCGTAAAAGTCTTGCTTTCGGACTCCAATTGAATCTCTTTTATAAAAGTTTAATTAGTTTTGAATAAAAATCATTCAAATCGCGATTCGGCGAGCGCTCCCGTGCACACCGCGTCCACCCAAATGCGCATCACTTCGGCCGCGAAAGTGGACAACACGTAAGTACGCGAAAGTGTCGCCACAGAGAACACGAAGCGCGGCCTCTCTTCGTGCGCTTTAATGCGCGTGTGATCCACGAAAACGTCGCGGATTTCGGCGAACGCCACGCCACCTGTGGGCGGACTCAAGGATTAGTGAACGCCCACTCGCTGGCCGTCACGTGACTCACCGTTTGGCTTTCGGTTGCGTTTGAAATGACTTTTGGACGCGAAATACGCCAACAATTGGTTCTCGCGGTCGAACACAAAGAAGCGCTTCCGCCACTTGTTGTCCGAGTTTTGGCACAATTTATAGAGACTTCCGGAACACGTGTTGGCCGTCAGTCGCACTTCCGGTCGCGCACTCAAGTCGTGTCCCAATTCGCGGATGTGTTGCTCTAAATCCAGTTCTTTGTCCACAACCG